TGTTTTTCTTTCTTTCTTGCTGGGTTTGATGAATCTCTTATTCTTCTTCTTCTTCTTCAACTTCATGAATCAAACCCACTTTGTCTGTTCAAAAAAAAAAAAAAACCATTTGCAGAACTCTTTGAACCAACAAAAAAAAAACCATTTCTTTGTAATGAAGACCCAAAAGAGAGAGAGAGAGAGAGAGAGAAAGAGAGAGAGAGAGATGGTGATTTTGGATTTGTGATGGATTTTGGATCTGTGATGGTGATCTTGAGGAATTGATTTTGGATCTTGAGGTGATGGTGATCTTGGATCTGTGATGTTGTTTGTTGTTTGTCTGTGATAATTTAGTGATGATGCCCACAATTTCCTGTTAGTCACAGACTGCCCTTTCTGCTTCTTTTTCTTCGGGTGTTTTCTTCTACTAGCCTGCCATTTCTTCTGCAAAATAGCCTTTCTTGCTTGGCCTGGGCTTAAATCGTGACCCCCCCTTTGGCCCATTTGATTAAGAAAGCCCACCACTTGACCTGGAGGTGCCTTAGACGAAGATGACCCACTACTACTCGGACGGGCCAGCCCTACCACTCCTTGATTCGACCCATCAAAGTTTAAATGGGCCTTATCAAGGTCCATTTCAATTTGAATTCCAAGCCTATTCCTTGCTGAGCCACTCAAACTTCTGATAAACCCAGGTGTGCAAATTTCCCCATCAAAACTCCGCCTACCACCCTCATTGATAAACTTGGAACTCGTCCCCACCTGTGCAGATTCACCCTCGCATGCACCTTCAGTCTCTGACACTGCCATCAGCATATCTGTTTCTGCCACCACGGAGACATCCCTCAACCGGTCCTCCACCTCCATGTTAGCGTCACTATCATGTGGGGCCCCTGTGCCCATGCCCATCGCAGCACTCCCATTATCCACAGTGTCACCAACATCAGCAGCATCAACCTCCTGCCTACTACCTTTATCTGTACACTGAAGCTTTTCAACCCCCTGTGAAGAGTAACTGTCACCAGTCTTCTGTTCCTTTGAGTTACAAGCACACTGCTCCTGTACAACATGTGAAACTATGATTTGTTCTTCACATACCCTAACTGGGTAGATTACACCTTTACACTCTAACTGGATGGTTTGGTTAATGGCCTCCATACAGCTAGTAACTATCCTCACTTTCCCACACTGGAAAGACAACAGCCTAGTGGTATCATCGTCCAAGCCTATCACTACACCCCAGACCTTCCCAATACTAGTGAATGTATTGTTGTTCCACAAGTTCAATGGGACTCCAAAACAACTAAGCCACACACTCCTTTCCTGTGCAAAAACCATCCCTTGTCGCCATGCCAAAACTGATTCACACCAGTCATACAGCCACTCCTTCATAGACACAAGTTGTTCCTTCATAGCTACTGCTGATTGAAAAGAAAGAACAATATCTCTCCCACCACCAAGCCGCACTATGATATCCCCATAGCCTTTCCTATTCATTTCCTCCCTAAAATCGTCTATGGAAGCTAAGGGTTTAAGTCGCACTACGGCACTTTCATAAAGCCACCCATTACCTGCCTCATAAACTTTAATGGTTTTGCTTGCCGATGATTCCGCTCCCCTGCCACTCACTACCTCCGCAAAGGATTTGATTCCCCTTAAACCAGCCGTGAACGGGTGTTGGCCCTCTACTTTCTTCCTGATCAGTGGCGCATGGTCCATTCTGGGTGTGGCCCTTCCATCTTTCCCAAACTCTGCCATTTTGACTCGCAATGCACAGTCGCCACACCACAACCCATTTCCTTTTTGGATTGCCATAGCCGCTGATACATCACAGTTATACCTAACAAAACCAAAGCGAGATCGCGTTAGCTTTCGGTGCTTATGAGGGATAATGTATCCGTGACTACACCATAGTTGGAGAATAGCTTATGCAACCCGCTGGATCCCATGGATTCTGGGATATTATCCACAAAAACAGAGTGAATAGTCACTTCCTCCCTTCTGCTCCACACTCCCCTGCCTCCATGTCGACGGACCACTAGTTGCCATCCTCCATACCTATGTTGAGCTCCCCTCTCCATTTCCTTATGATGCAAAAAGCCCCAAATCTATGAGAGTATTAAGATCTGAGACCAAAGATAGAAGATTGGGGAAAATAATCGCTTGATCGCGTTCGCAACTGCCCCAATTTCACCAGCGCCGTTGGTCGACTTTTGAGAACCAACCCTTTAGTACAACATAATAGTCCCTAAAATTGCATTTATTGGTAATATTTTATAATTGTCACTAAATGTTCTTTTTTTTTTTTTTAATTTCTCAAGATGACTCACATGACGACTGGAATTGGTTTCTTAATAATTTTTGCAATAAAATTCACTTGAGGAAGAAAAAGTTTGATACCTACAATTCTTATATGTTGTAGTGAATAATCTTACCCTGCTTATTTTTCCTATCACTCTAACTTTATTAAAACAACTGTGCTGGGGACCCCAGTTTGGGGTGACCCCCAGCAACCCCAGTGCCAGGTGGAGCTCTGTGATGGCAAGATAACAAAAGAAAAAAAAAAATTCCAACCAATGAAAAAATAATATCCGATTAACTTGATATTTTACAGGCATGTTCTACTTGATATATTTTAAAATGTGAAGGATTCGAATTATCAAAATAAACCTTGAAATGAGCTTATTTCACTGCACAACAATTGCTGCTACGCGAGCTGCGTAGCAGCATCCCCAATTCCATGGACAACTCTCTTCTACCAAAACATGCATATCAATTCTTTGGAAAAAAATGAATTTGTTTACATAATGGAAACAAAACACAATACTTAATTTGTCTAAAGAATGCTATTATGCTTTCCATTTTCTCATATGATTTCTCCCTTTTTCATTATTTTTCATATCTATTTTATTTATATTGTATTTTGTGGGCCTTATTCCCAGCTCAAAATGATAATTTGAACCGTTTATCTTGTAAGTCCAGCAGTAAAGATGAGTTGTGCAAAAATTTAATTTTATATGAACATTAATGCACTTCCACAAATTACATTTTGTTTTTAAAAATGGACGGAAACTATTTAAACTTGAACCATCTATTTTATAAAACAAAATATGATTTGTTCATCTATTAATCGATAATCGATGAATCTAATTTTTTAAACAGATGATTTTCGCTGTAAGATTTATCAGATGAGATGTGAAGATCACTAACAAAATACAGTATGGAGAATAATGGTTTAAAAAAATAGCCATTCTCACCTTTTAATTTACAATGTGTGATATAAAATATGGTAAATGTATCATTATTATTGTCTAAAACAGTGTACTTTATTTAAAAAGTGTATTAATCTCATCTAAAATTGGAAATTTTATTCACACATTTTGAAGGTTTGAACCATGGTTTTAAAAACCGGACCTGACCGGCCGGTTCAACCGGTTGAACCGGTGACCGGATGGGGTTCCGGTCCGGTCAGCCCCCTTAAACCGGCCAAATGTAAAAACCGGCCTATTTATTGAAAACCGGTGAACCCACCGGTTAAACCGGTGAACCGGTCGACCCGGCCACGGTTTTTTATTCACACATTTTGAAGGTTTGAACAAAATGAAACTCGTTGGTTGGGCGGTCTTTTTGCATGCATAAGTACTTATGTAATCAAGCCTAAGATATTCAAAAGTGTTGAAATTTACTAATTAAGGTAAATATTAGATGTAGAAACTAATTCACTGGTCTGAGATAGAGTTCTATTTCTTTATCTTTCAATAATTTTATTTTATTTGAAGAATTTTAGGTCTTCACGTTAATGTTTTTGGTAAGCTGGTCCAGTCAATGTTCACATAAGGACTCTTACAAAATTTAAAAATATTATTTATCCACAATTTTTGTCTTAAAATTCATTCTGAAATAAGATGTATAATGATTGAAGTCTACCGATATAATTTTATAAATACTTTCTTAAATATATATATTTTTTTGAGTTGTATTGTTATACTAAATTTCATGGAAAATTAATTTGTCACACTCTTTAGGAGTCTGTGAACAAAACACCAAACCTGATTAGTCTAAAATTATAGTGTGTTGATTCCACCTAGAATTGTAGTCTATTATTTTAAATTAATTTAAACTTGTGTTTTATTAACACACTTTGACTCAAAGATGAATAATAACTTGATGGATAGGTGGACTCAATTTAAAATAGTAAATTACTTTGAAATTATGTGAATTGCGTTTGGTAGAGATTTGTAATTATGATTTGAGAGTATGAGTTGTATTTTCAGTTTGTGAGGTTTGGAATTATGATTTGAGTGTGGAAAATTTGTTTGGTAAAGATTTTTGAAAATAGTTTTGAAAAGAGTTTTGAATTAAGTGCGGAATTGTTGATGTGACATTTGATATTTGATACAAAAATTTACAACTTATAACCAAACATACAACTCACAATTATTTTAAAATTTTAAAAAATTTAGAAAATGTTTTTTTTCGAATATATAAAAATTAACATATCAATAAAAAAAAAAAAAAAAAAAAAAAATCACTCTTCCAATCAACCGGTGGGACGACCGGTTAGGCAAAATTTGCAAAAAAAAATTCCGAAACCCGCACCTGGTACAGACTTCTCTGCAGAGTTTTGAAAACGTGTTTTCAAAATACGTTCCAAACATCATATTCAAAACTCGGTGTAGAATCACATTTTGAAAACATAACGAAACAGACTTTTCATGGTGTAACTCAAATTTGTTTTACTTTTCTTTGGGAAATATCATCAACCCTGCAAATTGCAAGATAAGTTGCGAGTTACTGTTTTCTTACTTTGGAGGCCATGACCTAATATAACATCGACTAGTTATGCATTATATGGCTTTCTACAGCTAGTTTTGATAGATTTGCTCTTATTTAGGCTTGTAACATGAGCAAGTTAAATCCTGCTTAATTAACCCAAATGAATATTGCATATACATGAGTTCCATTTTCAATATCGTAAACAAAATAATCTTGCTTTTTTTCCCCTTCGATTTGTTTAACAGATCCAAATCGATTTAGATTCACTAGACAAACAACATTTGGGAGACGTCACATGACGCATTGTACAGATTCAACAGCTCACCTGTGGATTGTAAGTTGCTGTCTATAGCTTACCTCTCCCTATATCACATGGGTTATTTGTTTGCTAGATTAAAGAGGAGGGATTGGAACTTCTAGTCTGTTGTTTGGCAAATATATCTTATCTTGAGATTTGGCTCTTATCCCTCATAGGGGGACTAATTGAGCTAGGGGATAACTAATCGCACTCCATGGCATCAATTAATCCCTTCACTTCAAATTATCCTCTCTTCTGATCTAACAGTCTAAAATAATCATCTCCTTATTATTTCATTATGCATACACGTAATTTAACTCTTTTCCTATGGTATTCAATTTTCGAAAAAATAATTCAGCAAACAAACGAGTTCTTATTGTCCTTTTAAAGTAATATAGTTTTGATGATTTGCATTTGGGTACTTAATATGTAACTGTGAAATTGTATAGAAATGTTTTTTCAGACAGTTCTTCAAGTCAGTAGTGAAAGTTGATTACCTCACCTTGAGACACGGTTTTATCTCGGTAATGATCTCTCAATTCTAATCTTCCTAATTTTAAAATCAATTTCATCACAAAATTGAGATGGAAAATGAGTTCTTGATTGATTAACCATGTGATTTTATTTTGTGAAATTTCACAATCAAGGCTCATTTGTCTGAGAGGCACAACAACTTCAATTTCCAGAAGTACATACAGAGATCTTTGGAAGAAGATTTTAAAGTGATAGTCAGTATCAGGTTGTAGATTATTTTCACTCTTTGCTCTTCATGGTTGTCATCATATATTAAACAATGGCCTCGTTTGGGAAGTGGCTATTTTAGTAGGCTATTTTAGTTTTTGGTTATTTTAATAGGCTAAAATTTTTGTGTTTGGGAAGATGATTGGATTTTTTTTGTGGTTGGATGTGATGTTTGTGAGAGAAAAAGTGAAATGATTATGTGTTTGATGTGATATTTTGTCTTATTAGCTATTTTAGTCTATTTTATCTTTTTGTGAATTTTAGCCTAAATTGGGCTATTTTTTTTCTTCCCAAACACTCCCAATATAATTAAACGTTTTAATTAATAATTTATATACCCCTTTCATATATTTCATTTACATATTTTGAAAGGACGGTTTGGGCCACTAGTAAAGCTTGTCATTAGCGTTCTTGACGGTGCAAGTTTAGTTGAGTTACAAAAACAATCTCAAAGATTAAAGATAATACTACGTACATCTTTTCACTAGTAAGGATGTCATAACCTCATCACCCAGAAAAAGTATCTTGAAAATGAATTGTGTGATTCAAATTTATTATGATATAATATACGTACATCATACTAGAACAAATTTAAAACTATATATATATATACTTATTTTTTTTTAGCATTATTTGGAGTAAATCAAAAATTCACCCATCTTTTCCATATTCCTTTATAAATTTTTAGCCAAATTCGTAATCCAAAAGCAATCTAACTTACTCTGATAGTGTGTTGTCTTTGTCTTGGCAGCCCACTTTTGTGGTTAATAGTTGTCATCTTTATGCTTGTGGTTGTTCAAGGTGAGTATATGGTTTTCTTCTAGAATTCCTTTATTTTATTATTACTCTTTTATTTTATTTTGTAAGTCATGCACTGGCTTTGGTTAAGATTTTTTGGATTAAATACATCAAATCTCACAGCTTTGGGTTAACTTGCCCAATTTCTGTTAGTTAATTGGTAATAAGATGGATGGAATACAATGATTTTTGCCAATTTTGTGCTAAAATGTCTATTTTTCCGTTAGTTAATGTTAAGTTTGCTAAGGGTAAATTAGTATTTTTGCTTGTTTAGTTAACGGTGTCAATGTATAGGGGATGTCAAACTAATTTTCCTAAATTTGTGAAATTTGCTGTATTTAATTCAAATATCAAGGAAATCAATATAATTTCTCTTATTATTATTATTATTATTTATTTATTTTCAAATGAGAATGTTTGATCTAAAAAATTGTTTTTGGATCGAATCAGGTTGGCACGTGTATCTCTTTATATCATTTATCCCACTACTAGTAAGTATATATACATCTTGCAGCAAAAAATACTAAATTGAAACTTGTATGAAGTTTCATTTGTCTCCTCTCCATGGATCAATGATAATTAAAGTGTCTAATTTTATATGTATATATGTGTAGATAGTGCTAGTGCTTGGAACTAAACTAGAAGTGATAGTCGCAAGAATGGCTCTTCAACTCAACAATCAGGACAATGTAATCATAGGAGCACCTCTTGTTCAACCCCATGATGATCTTTTCTGGTTTGGGCGCCCAAGATTTGTTCTCACTCTTCTCCATTTGACTCTCTTTCTGGTACCTACCTACCAACTTTAATTCCTCCTTTGTGTTGATGCATTAAGGTTTGTGTTTGGATTTTCAATTTGTAAAATAAAACAAAACAAAATAAAAATAAATAATTTTCTATTAGGTAAATTACAACATATTCTCTTAGCATTGCTTAAAATACAAATTGTCCCTTATAGTTCTGAAAATTACATTCTGTCCCTTAAAATTTCTTATTGCATAATAAATGACTCATTTTATTAATAAATCATTAAGTTAATTAACAATTTTAATGATGCCAAAAATATATTTTAATTAATAATTCAAGTAATTTTATTATTGTATAAGATAGCGGTTAAAAATTTAAAAACTCTTCTCAAGTTGTTTGGGATTATTAGGGTACTAACAAATTGCTACATTTTTTCCTGATGATTTCAGAATGCATTCGAGCTTGCCTTCTTCGTTTGGGTAACGGTAAGTCTTTTCCTTCTCCTTTTAACTCTATGTTTTTGGTGTAATGGATGGGAAGGAATTAGGATGGAGGTGGAGTTATTTAGTGTTGTGTTTGTTTGTAGAGTTGGGGAAATGATTCGGATGGAGGAGAGGATTAAGATGGAGGTTAGAAAGGGGATTGAGATGGAGGAGTTGGAGGTGGTATTAGAAAAATAGTGAGGGGATTAGAAATTTTTTTATTTTTTTTATTTTTTACATATTGGGAATTTTTTTAAAAATATTAATGTTTAATTTTTTATATTTTTTTATTTGTTTTATTATTTCATATAAAAATAATTTATCAATTCCTACACTAACAACTATCATCAAAATAAATACTATTTTACTTAATCCCCTCACTATCAATCCCCTAAGGTCATGTTTGTTTGGGTGGACATGAGCTTGGGATTGGACTAATAATCCAATAAAATTATTAATTCAATGTTTGATTAAACAATTAAAGTACGGACTAATTATTTTAAACTTGACTATTAGTTAAGATAAAATACATAATCCAACGAATTGGTAATCCTAAGACTATTAGTCATGGGAATGCTAATCTAGTCCGCCCAAACAAACATGGCCTAAGTATAAATTTCTTTCATTCTACCTCTAAAAACAAACGGGGTCTAAAAATAGATCAAGATCTTATCATGTTAGGCTGAGCCAACAGTTCGACCCACTAACCCTTCCGAACCAAGCCCATTTAACCCTTCCGTACCGTGCCCACTTAAGGTCGTAGGCCCTGAACCGGCTCACCTAAAAAAGCCCGTTGACGGGCTTAGGCACCAATTCCATGGGTTAAATTACATGTAGTTGACAGTCCAAAAAAAAAAAAAAAAAACAAAACAAAAAACAAAAAAGTTTACAGGTAGTTGTGAGATTTTGTGAGACCCACGCCCATCTGTGTGGATATTTTTTTGAGAAAATTATTTTAAAGTTTGTGACTATCCTATTTGCATCGATCTTGACCAGTTATGGTAGACCATATAGGAAAAAAAATAAGGTCCGAACTCCATACTTTCACCATATTAAATATGTGGTTCCAACATGGTAAGTAGGGATACAATCGGTGTAGGAAATTATTTATTAAAATAAGCGAATTGTGTGTATTTTAAAAAAATACAAAATGACTTATACAATAAAAGTTTAAATAATTTCATAATGTAAAGTATTTTTTGGAAACCAAAAAATTATTTTGTAATAAAGAATTCAGCCTTGTTAATTCTCATAGAGCCGGCATAGTTTACACTCACATAAGTAATTCTTATTAAGAATGTCATGTCATACTCCACTTGGATAACCAAGATATAAGAATCATTAAAAACAGATCTTATCCTGACAACGCAACAAGGATCACTCTTCTTATCATAGAAATAGGTAGGAGTGTAAACCTATCTAGTGATTGAGGAATCTACATAATTCGGTTGTCCTATTGAACCTAGTTCTTGGAATCTCGAGTCTTCTAGGTTGGGTTGCCATTATGGCGATTCTTAGTTAATAGGCATTAATCACATTTCTCTTAATAAATTAAATACTTGCTTTCTGGCTAGCCCTTTCGCTAATAGATTCGCAATATTATGTCTAGATCTTATATAGTCAATGGTAATTATACCATTCGAGAGCAACTGCCTAACGGTATTATGACGTCGACGAATGTGTCGAAACTTTCCGTTATACATATAATTTTGTGCCTATTCTATTGTTGATTCATTGTCGCAGTATATGCATATAGCTGGCACAAGTTTTAGCCAATCGGAATATCTTCTAGGAAATTTCGAAGCCACTCTACTTCTTCTGTTGTTTTATCCAAAGCGATAAACTCCGATTCCATTGTGGAGTAGACGTCCCCGAACGCCCCGGGAGGGTGAGGTCCCGTTTCGTTCGTTTTGCGGGTCTACTACAGTTCGGACTCAAATTGTCATTGTTCTTAATCTGAACCAAAGAGTCCAAATCTGGCAAATCGTTTTGAGAAAACAGATTTTTAGAAAAAGAAGTGCCAAACATGGACTGCTTTGCCAGATACAGAGTCGCCACCTAAATATTTTATTTTGGGAAATTTAGGAAACTTTGACTCGGTGCCAAAGGCCACGTGTCCGTCATCACCAAAGTTGCCTCGGCTCGGGAACTTGGGTACGATTGGGGAAGGTTAGCTATGAGCACCCCCTCTCGCCCGATCAAAGATTGGCCTCTACTAACCGTGATATCTTGTTTTGAAAGCATTATGTGTTCTTATTCCAACTATTAGCCTAGAATTACTATGTTATGCGCACAGCAAACAAGTATAGACCAAATCGCCTAAATTGGAACAAAACATTTCATGTTTGTTTTGAAAATGATTTGCTACTCGCAAGTAGGCTAAAATGCAGGTTTTGCCACCCTCAAGTGGGCTTTTAGAAAAGATGATTTTGCCACTATCTAGTGGGCTTAAAATTCACAGTTTTAATGCGTTATCTCAATTTAAGCAATTCGACCCTCATCCACAAGCATTCAAGCAGTATATCACATAAGCAGCTAGCCTCATGGTAATCATGCAATATGGCAACACTCACACGCATGCGGCATGCTAAGCATAAAAGCCCACCTAGTACTCCAAGCCAAAACAGAAACCAGTTAGTAATCACATGCATGATCCTAGTTCATATTTGAAATGGCTAATGCAACACATGCAAAGATGCAATCCAAACAGGCTCGGCTATCCTAAACATGGCATGTGAAATGCTGCAACTAACAAATACTCACATGGAATTGAAATACGAGTGCAGTTAGCATGATGTACTGAGCCTGGTGCATGTAAGACAAATTTGGATGCACGCATGCTAAGCATAAGGTATGCTAATTTAAATATGCCGTAGTCTACCATCATAAGCGGGTAAATAAAAGGGAAGAAAGACGTGGGGTTGGAAGGCATACACACACTCACGCACACTTATTACACAATTGCCCTCACTCGGAGGGTCCGAAAGAATAATACAGTCCGAATAACAAATCAACTATCCTAGCTAATTAATTATTACAGACCCTTAATTAATTAACAAAATAAATGCAGAAAGAAGGTGGCCACAGCCTGCCTCGGATGCGCGAATGATGCATGTTTGACTCGTCTTGCCCGGAAACTGCTGCCATAGCACTACTGCCTCTGTTTACACTGCCTTAGCTCCTCTGAAGACTGCACAAGTCTTGGAATAGGTTCTCTACACACTTTGGAGCACCACTGGCTAGGAGGAATGGTCACCGGCCGCAGGGAATGATCGCCGGCTGCATTTTGATATATCGGCTGCAAATTCCTGGCCGGTCGGCACTCTACAGTGCCGGTCGGCAAAAACTCCTTGCAGAAACTGGTTTTTTGACAGCAACAAGGACAGACAGTGTATGGCATGGAATTTCAAGCAAATGTATGCGTGGGCACACTCCCTATCATGCAAGGGACTCAAGGGAGCATGACCCTCGACCCTCGGCCATCAATCATGCATTTTGATGCGTGATGGCCTAAGGAGCCAAGGTTGCAATTCAATGAAATGCATGCAACATATAAATGAATACCAAAACCCTATCATGCCAAAGTCAAGGGCCTCGGTGACCGAGAGTTGAGATGCGTTACAATCTTGTAGTATGAACACTTCTTCCCCTCACACTTGGTTTGACACCCAAACCAAGCAATGCAATGCATGTTATGCAAGCATGGCTCGAAAATGCAACATATCACTAAAATGCAAAGCATGCCAAATGTAATGCAACATATCATAGCAAGCATGCAATGTTCCTAACATGCAATGCTACAATGCAACTCATCATGCAATGCTAATATGGTACAATGCAAGCATGCGATTAGAGGCAACAAGTCACGCATACAACCATGTCCGAGAAGGGACTTAGATGAAATGGGAGGCCTCAAACACCCCCCAAAACAGTGGCCAAAAGTGTCTCAAGTGATGGACAAAATGCACTACAAGCATGCAAGTCAAAAGGGGCCCAAGGCTAAGGCATAACAACAGGCACTCCACTACCACTAACCCAAACAAGCATGGCATGAACTATACAACCCAAAAACAGAATTTTAGCATGCAAAATAGCCCAAAACCCGCTGGTATGGCAGCCCTAAAATGAGCGCAAAACAATAGGCATACACAATGCACATGTCAAGGCATGAAAACACAACACTTCAAGGCATTGAAAGAGATACAAAGGACAATGTAAGACCACATTATATGGACTGGAATATGATCTCAACTAATGCCAAATGATGATAATAGGCCAAGCTAGACATGTTAATGATCCATACACTCATGGCTCATGATCCAAAATGCAAAGCAACTATATCAAGCATGCTAAACAAGACCAAATCAGTGGCCAACAGACCTCATGCATGACAAAATATGGTCAAGAACTTCACAAAGTGAAGCCAAAATATGAGAGCATGGTAGTCAAAAGTCATGATGCATTTCTAGGCACAAACAAGGGAATACAAAGCAAGCATGTTAATCATGCAAAGGGGCACCAATCTGACCAAAAATAGAGATAACATGTGACCTAAATAGCACCAAAAACATCTTATATGGAGCTAAAAACAACCAAGCATATATGCTACCCTTATGAGCCCAAAACATGCACAAACGAGACACAAAGGGAGAGGGGTGTCCCTCCCCTATACAAGGCTTCAAACCATCTTCTTCACCACTAAAAATCCATCGGATTTCAGTGGTGAGAAGGTTAATACAACAAAGCAAATAAGGGTTAAAGGAAAAGACACCAAAAGGGGCCAAAAGAGACCTAAGAGGGGGATTTCGACCCCCAATGCCAAAAAACCCTTAATGACAGTTCTTAAGCATGAAAATATAAGACTTTTTTTAGTTATACACAAAGCTCAAATCAATATGCAAGATAGGTCAAAAGCCAATGCAAGATTGGGGATAATAAAGTGAAAGTCTTACCCTTGAAGAACACTTCAAGAACAGTTGGTCCAGCCACACCCTACTGAGCAA